TTGAAAATGGTCAGAAAATCATTTCTCACCTGGAGTCCAAGATGAATTCCTTGGAACATGAAATGGCGGCTCTGATGGCTCTAACTTCTGAGGTAGTCCGAACGAGTGCCCATGGAATTTCTGGACGTCAAGGGTCAAAGAAGCTGAATCTCTTGGAAGTTTACTGTGAACCGGATTCTCAACTAGTTAGAGTTGCACATCAATATGGACTGACTGCCAAGAGGTTCACAATTCATGATGGTGATCTCAGCACTCCAGAAGGGCAAGCAAAACTTTGGAAGATCGTGGAAGATGAACAACCAGACCATATTTGGACGTCACCTGAATGTCGGTACTGGGGAAACTTCAGTCGATGGAATATGAGCAAGAGCCCAAGCACAGCACACAACATACTTGAGGGTCGTAAACACGAAAAGACTAACTTAAGTTTGTGTGAGGAACTGTATTGGTATCAGGTAAGTAGGGGTCGTCATTTCCATCTTGAGCAACCACAAGGGTCTGAAGCACTTGATCAAAAGGAGGTTCAGGGAATAGTTGGGGGCACTTATCGAACGGTGTTTGACATGTGTGAGGTAGGTGGCCTTAGGATTCCCCCTGGAAATAATTTCCTCAGGAAAAGATCAGTAGTGCTCACGACTTCCAAAGTTTGTCACTCCGGCCTGGACTCACGATATTGTACAAAGCAACATGAACACTGTCACATCAAAGGACAGGTCAAAATCCATGGCCGATGGGAGAATCTCTCGGCTTATGCAGCTAAATATACCCGTGGCTTTTCCAAAAATGTGATCCGAGGTATCATCGAGAGTATGAGAGTGAGAGAGATGCCTATGGAAATGGAAGAGTTGTGTGTTCCATGTAATGGGGTACATGCCCGGGATCAAGAAGCTGCTGCGGAAGATGTCGTGAAGCGTCGCCGGTTGAATTTCAAACAATCCGAGGATCTGTTGGATCCAGTGTCTATGAGCTCCGGGAGCGGAGTACAATATGGCCCGGCGAGATCTTGGAAAGATCTGTTCAAGGAAGCGGCAAAGCTCGCTCCAAGAGTTGGTACTGTTCAGGTTGAGCCCCAAAGCGAACTTTTCTGTGGGATTCAAATGTTGGTTGACGGTTTTGAGGTTGTTCGGGTTGATGTTTGTAGGGGAACAGAAAGATTTCGGGTACCAGCTGCTGGAGTAATTAGACCTAGCCCCCTTAACTTACAGACTGACCGTCATCCTCAACCGGGATTCAGGACTGGTAGAAACATTGGGTGACCCTGAAAAGTGGCAAGATCTCCCCAAAACCAAACAAATTAGGAGGGCTAAGCCAGCAAGAATTGGGATGACAATTTTTGGGAAGGATAAGCAAACGGGGTTGATGGAGCCAGAACTGGGGAAGAACCTGGGTGAGGGTGACCGGTATGTCAATACTGAGGGTGAAAAGAAACCATCAGCTTCCAATATAATGATGCCGGATGTATCAATGGAAGCCGGACTGCCTGTAGGAGGGGAAAACCAAGAATCCAACAAAAAGGATCCTCCGTCATTGGAACCGGATGTTGAAATGGGAATTGTAGGACATCCCCCCAAAAGTATTCCCCGTCATGGTCCCAAGTTTTTGGAGTTGACTAAAGATGAGAGGGATTGGGTCCGTCAGCTTCATCACAGAATGGGACATCCGGATCCAAACAGGTTTGCGCAGTTTCTGAAAAGCACTCATGCGGCTGAGAACATCGTAGCTGGCTCTTTGGATCTTCAATGTGATGCTTGTTTGGAGACTCAGAAGGGTTTTCTTCCAACTCGTCAGGCTGCAATACATTCAGATTTGGGTTTTAACGAAGTTGTTGGTATGGATGTTGCGAGCTGGCGAAACGGTCGTGGAGTTGAGTTCAAGTTCGTTCATTTCCTGGATGAGGGTACCCTTTTCCAACAAGGAAAACCATGTGCCACTGACACCGACGACCAAATTCGTGCACTTGAGGGTTCCTGGATAGCATGGGCCGGTCCACCGAAAGAGATTTATACGGACCCTGCAAAAGAGTATACCTCTGAAAAGTTTTTGGGAAAACTCCAAGAGCATGGAATCCAACTTCGGGTGTCAGCCAGGGATAGTCATTGGCAGCTAGGCAGAACAGAGGTGCATGGTTCCATCATCAAAAGAATGTTGGATAGGATGGATGCTGAAATACCCATTAACAGTGAGGAAGATTTTCGGGGAAGTCTGGTTCAGTGTTTTTCAGCGAAAAACGCACTGTCGAGGGTGAAGGGGTATACCCCGGAGCAGGCAGTTTTGGGGATTTCACGAAGACTTCCAGCATCCACCACTTCCGATTCACAGCAGTCAAGCCATTTGCTGGCAGCAGGTGAGTCTCCAGAAAGTGACCAGTTTCGACAAAACCTGGAGCGCAGGAGTCTTGCACGACAGGCATTCATAGAGGCCGACAATAGCAACAGCCTTCGGAGAGCTATGTTGAGGAGAAATAGACCCCTTAGAGAACCATATGAGGAAGGTGATTGGGTTTTGTATTGGAAAAGAAAGGGGGGAAATCTTCGAAGGATTCGAGGTCAATGGCATGGGCCTGCTCGAATTGTAATGCTTGAAGGTCGTAGGATCTGTTGGTTAGTGCATGCCAATCGGCTCATCAGAGCCAGCCCCGAGCAACTCCGTCCAGCGTCTTTGCGAGAATGGCATTCTGTCCGGGAACAGGAAGCCACGATGCGTCCAGTCCAAGATTGGATGAAACAAATTTCAACGTCGGAGCTCTTTGATCTCAACTCGGAAGATGTCCCACAACCAGAGGTTTCAGGAGAGGTGGAACGTGAAAGTACTGGGTATTCCCCCTCAAACTATGAACCCGAAAGGGAGCTTACTGGGGAAGGGGAGTCAAATGAAGGGGAAGTTGAAGAAAGAGTTGAGACAAATGGAGTAAAGGTTCCAATCCCTGATGATGATGATGATTTATGGTTTGGGGATGATGCTGACTATGTGGTCGGTTCACCGAATCAAGTTTGGGAACTGGATATCACTCCACCAGACTGGCAGCCGGAAAATCTGGACAACCCTCAAGAGACAGTTTTGTTAGCTACTGAGATGAGAAGGAAGAGAGTTGAAGTCAAGTTGAGGGATTTAGGTGAGGATGATCAGTTACGATTTGCGGCTGCCAAAGACAAGGAAATTCGTGCATGGCTTGGGCACAAGACTGTGCAACGGGTGGCAAAAGGGAAAATCCCTGACAATGCCATCATGAGGTGCAGATGGCTGCTGTCTTGGAAAAATGCCAATGGCGACGAACCACCTGGAGAACTAGCACTGAATGGAAAGAAGGCAAAGGCCAGGTTGGTAGTGATAGGCTATGAGGACCCTGACATTGATGTTGTCAAGAATGATGCACCAACTCTCACGAAGGATGGGAGACAATGTGTCTTGCAACAGGTGAGTAGCCATCATTGGCCATTGATAAGCTTTGATATCTCGACAGCGTTCCTGCATGGAAAAGGTGATGGCAGAACCCTTGGTCTTCATCCGACGGCTGAAATGCGAGAAGCTTTGGAAATGGGTCCAGAGGACCAGTGCGCCTTGAACGGCGGAGCATACGGCCGAGTTGATGCCCCATATTTGTGGTTTTGTGAAATCAGGGATGAACTTCTTCATCAGGGGTGTAAACAACATCCATTGGATCCTTGTGTTTTCACTTATGGGGAAATTGACCAACAAGGGGTATACCAGCCATGCGGTAGTTTGGGGCTTCATGTTGATGACGGGATTGGTGGAGGTAATCAAGCCTTCATGTCCATGCTGAAAAGAGTTGAAAAGAGATTCAAGTTTGGCAGTTTTGAAACTGGTGAATTTAAGTACACTGGTATTCACTTCAAACAATGGGATGATGGAAGTATCGAGTTTGACCAGATTGAGTATGTGGAGAAGATACAACCAATTCCTATTCAGAAGGGTCGCCGTAATGATCCCAAATCGGAAGTGACACCAGAGGAACGCCAGATGCTGCGTAGCTTGATCGGAGCCCTTCAATATGCCGCTGTACATAGCCGTCCAGATATCAGCGCCAAAGTCGGAGAGTTGCAGTCGAACGTGACTAAAGCAACAGTTGAGGATTTGGTGGTAGGCAACAGGTTGCTCCATGAGGCTAAGGCTCATAAGGTGTCACTCATGGTTTTGCCGATCAATCCACAACATGTCACGTTTTGTGCCTTCTCTGATGCAAGTTTTCTGTCAAATAAAACTAGCGTTGCACACCAGGGAACAATAGTGTTTGTAACCACCCCGGAACTCTTGCAGAATCGGAAAGCTGTTGTTGCCCCAATTGCTTGGACAAGCAAAAAGGTTCCAAGGGTGGTGCGTAGCACTTTAAGTGCAGAAGCTGCAGCCCTGAGCAATTCAGTTGACAGACTGCTTTGGCTGAGAATGATGTGGGCTTGGCTGTTGGACCCGAGCTGTGAATGGAGCAATCCAGAAAAAGTGCTGGAGGCTCAAACCAAGGCCGCAATCGTCACTGACTGTCGATCCATGTATGACATATTGACTAGGACGGCAGTTCCAAGTTGCAGTGAGCATCGGACAACAATAGAGTGTTTGCTGATCAGGGAGAGGTTGAAGTCAAATTGTGATGTTCGATGGGTGACCAGTCAGGCGATGCTTGCAGACTGTTTAACCAAGTCCATGGACGCTTCCATCTTGCGTCAATGTCTGGCATCCGGCAAATACTCGCTGTTTGATGAGGATGAGATTCTCAAGAAAAGGGCTGACAATCGTCAGAGGTTGTTGTGGGTTAAGAGCAATGGAAAGAATGATGTTGTGCCAGCATCGCAAGGAGCTTCCGAGAAAAATATAGAAGAAAGCTGTCATTTGCATGTACAGTCATCAGAAAAATCTGAACCTCAAGATTTTTGGCAAGTCGGTTCTGGAGGCACCATCATAAGAGTCCATGTAGTTCCACGCATCAATCGTTTTGTTCCAATTGGGGTTACTGGTTGTCCCGTGAATATCAAGGATTTGAGGGCTATTCGTGAGACTCGAGTAAAGGGTTGGAAGAGTGAAAGGGACTATTGGACTGGTTCACGTGGTGCAGCTCCATTTGATTTTGTTTGGACAGGTGAAACTGTCTTCCATAGAAAATTTGAGAGCATGAAAGCTTCCGGAGAGGGGATTTCAGTGAACAAAGAAGGTGTGTGAAACTCTCAAGTTATCTGTGGAAACTGTCCGGCCATCATTCGCGCTGCCGTGCGCCTGGTTCCCTCAAGGGAGGGTGGGCGTGGAGTCAAGGACATGGCGATGGGTAGATAAAAGGGAAGGTCAAAGGGTTTGACATTCGCAATATAAATATATCACGAAAGGTAGCTCCAGAGGGGCTACCTTGAGTTTTACTTTACGAAGTAAAGGGGAGGGCGGCCAGCCCCGTTACCTGATTCTTCAGAATCAGGACAGCAGTGGTCTCCTGTTTCTTGTAGGTCAAACTGTTTCTTGTAGGTCAAAACATCTTCAAATGAACGAGCTTGAAATGGCAGGGTCTCACAGAGGGCAAGGTAGGGCAGGGTCTCGCCCATCAAACATCTTCAAATGAATTAGAACAGATGGCAGGGTCTCACACATCAAGGAAGGCAGGGTCTCACAGAAAGGCAGGGCTTCACAGAAGACAGGGTATCGCCCATTAAACAAAGGCAGGGTCTCACAGAAGGCAGCACAGAAGGAAGGCCCTCGCAGAAGGCAAAGCGTCACAGAAGCCAGGGTCTCACAGAGGGCAAGGTCTCACAGAGGGCAAGGCCTCACAGAAAGCAAGGCGTGTCACCCATAGCAGGGACTCACACAAGGCATGGTTTCACATCTGAAACAAAGGCCTGGTTTCACAGAACACAAGGTGTCACATGTTGAACTGAGGCCTAACTCTCACAGAAGGAAGGGCCTCGCAGAAGGCAGGGCCTCACAGAATGCAAGGTCTCACAGAAAGCAAAGTCTCACAGAGGGTCCCCCATTATGAACAAAGGCAGGGTCTCAGAGAAGGAAGGGTCTCACAGAAGGCAAAGCCTCACAGAAGCCAGGGTCTCACAGAAGGCAAGGCCTCACAGAGGGTCTCACAGAAAGGCAGGGCTTCACAGAAGACAGGGTCTGGCCCAGAGGGCAGAAGCCTATTTTGGCTACAGGCATGCGTATCACATATGACGCAATGCAGGGTTTCACACAATAGACAGGGAAATAAAGGATTCCGCACCTGAAGGTGTTTTCACCCGTGAAATCACACGCTCCCGAACTGTTGCTCTCCTCTGCTGCTCCCACACGCGAGCTGCTCTTGCTCACTTTCTGGTTGGCGGCAGAATGACAGCACCGGCCCTGGACACTCTTCCATAACTGAAGCTTAGGATTTTATATTTGGTCTTTGATAGGAGCAAGATACAATCTATAGATATGTAGCACAGTTTTCGATATAAATTAGAACAGATGGCAAGGTCTCACACATCAAGGAGGGCAGGGTCTCACAGAAAGGCAGGGCTTCACAGAAGACAGGGTCTCGCCCATTAAACAAAGGCAGGGTCTCACAGAAGGCAGGGGGGTGCCAAGCCTAGTTTGGCTACAGGCATGCGTATCACATATGACGCAATGCAGGGTCCCACACAATAGACAGGGAAACAAAGGATTCCGCACCTGAAGGTGTTTTCACCCGTGAAATCACACGCTCCAGAACTGTTGCTCTCCTCTGCTGCTCCCACACGCGAGCTGCTCTTGCTCACTTTCTGGTTGGCGGCAGAATGGCAGGACCGGCCCTGGACACTCTTCCATAACTGAAGCGTAGGACTTTATACTTGGTCTATACTAGGAGCAAGACTCAATCTATAGATATGTAGCACATTTTTCGATATAATTTAGAACAGATGGCAGGGTCTCACACATCAAGGAAGGCAGGGTCTCACAGAAAGGCAGGGCCTCACAGAAGACAGGGTCTCGCCCATTAAACAAAGGCAGGGTCTCACAGAAGGCAGGATATCATAAAATAAATTAAGTCAGGGTGTCACAGAAGGAAGGGCCTCACAGAAGGCAAAGCCTCACAGAAGCCAGGGTCCCACAGAAGGCAAGGCCTCACAGAATGCAAGGTCTCACAGAAAGCAAAGTCTCACAGAGGGTCTCACAGAAAGGCAGGGCTTCACAGAAGACAGGGTCTCGCCCATTACACAATGTCAGGGTCTCACAGAAGGCAGGGGGGTGCCAAGCCTAGTTTGGCTACAGGCATGCGTATCACATATGACGCAATGCAGGGTCTCACACAATAGACAGGGGAATAAAGGATTCCGCCCCTGAAGGTGTTTTCACCCGTGAAATCACACGCTCCCGAACTGTTGCTCTCCTCTGCTGCTCCCACACGCGAACTGCTCTTGCTCACTTTCTGGTTGGCGGCAGAATGACAGGACCGGCCCTGGACATTCTTCCATAACTGAAGTTTTAGGGTTTTATATTTGGCCAATGATAGGAGCAAGATACAATCTATAGATATGTAGCACAGTTTTCGATATAAATTAAACAGACGGCAGGGTCTCACACATCAAGGAAGGCAGGGTCTCACACATCAAGGAAGGCAGGGCTTCACAGGAGACAGGGTCTCGCCCATTAAACAAAGGCAGGGTCTCACGGACGGCAGGGTATCATAAAATAAACTGAGTCAGGGTCTCACAGAAGGAAGGGCCTCACAGAAGGCAAAGCCTCACAGAGGGCTAGGCCTCACAGAAGCCAGGGCCTCACAGAAGCCAGGGTCTCACGGAAGGCCAGGTCTCACAGAGGGCAAAGCTTCACAGAAAGCAAGGTGTGTCACTCACAGCAGGGACTCACACAAGGCATGTTTTCACATCTGAAACAAAGGCATGGTTTCTTAGAACACAAGGTGTCACATGTTGAACTGAGGCCTAACTCCCACAGAAGGCAAGGTCTCACAGAAAGCAAGGCCTCACAGAGGGTCCAACATTATGAACAAAGGCAGAGTCTCAGAGAAGGAAGGGTCTCACAGAAGGCAAGGCCTCACAGAAGCCAGGATCCCAACTCACACAATAGACAGCGGGAAACAATGGATTTCGCACCTGAAGGTGTTTTCACCCGTGAAATCACACGCTCCCGAACTGTTGCTCTCCTCTACTGCTCCCACACGTGAACTGCTCTTGCTCACTTTCTGGTTGGCGGCAGAATGACAGGACCGGCCCTGGACATTCTTCCATAACTGAAGTTTAGGATTTTATATTTGGTCTATACTAGGAGCAAGGTACAATCTATAGACATGTAGCACATTTTTCGATATAACTTAGAAGAGATGGCAGGGTCTCACACATCAAGGAAGGCAGGGTCTCACAGAAAGGCAGGGCTTCACAGAAGACAGGGTCTCGCCCATTGAACATAGGCAGGGTCTCACAAACGGCAGGGTATCATAAAATAAACAAAGCCAAGGTCTCACAGAAGGAAGGGTCTCACAGAAGGCAAAGCCTCACAGAAGCTAGGGCCTCACAGAGGGCAAGGCCTCACAGAAGCCAGGGCCTCACAGAAGGCAAAGTCTCACAGAGGGCAAGGTCTCACAGAAAGCAAGGTGTGTCACTCACAGCAGGGGCTCGCACAAGGCATGGTTTCACATCTGAAACAAAGGCATGGTTTTACAGAACACAAGGTGTCACATGTTGAACTGAGGTCTAACTCTGACAGAAGGCAGGGCCTCACAGAAGGCAAAGCCTCACAGAATGCAAGGTCTCACAGAAAGCAAGGTCTCACAGAGGGTCCAACATTATGAACAAAGGCAAGGTCTCAGAGAAGGCACAGGAGGGAAGGCCTCACAGAAACGCAGGCTCTCACAGACTGCAGGGCCTGACTGAAGGCAAGGCCCAACATGTGAAAGAAGGCTGGGTCTCATAGAAGGCAGGGTCGCACATAGGACAGAAGGCAAAACTTCACATGTGAGAGAAAGCAAGGTCTTACATGTGACAAAAGGTAGGGTCTCACATATGGCAGAAGAGGGTCCCGCATATGACAGAAGGCAAGGTCTCACACGCGAAAGAAGGAGGGTCTCGCACATGACACATTGCAAGGTCTCACAGATCTAACAGGGCCTCGCTTATGACAGAAGGCAGGGTCTCACACACGAAAGAAGGAAGGGCCTCACAGATGACAGATTGCAAGTCTCACAGATCTAACAGGATCTCGCAGGACAGAAGCCTAGCAGGGTCTCACAGAAGGTAGGTCAGAAGGCAGCGTCTCACAGCAGTTGGAAGGGTCGGAATAGGGCAGATTTCCGACAAACGTTCGACAACATTAACGGGGCGAGGAAAACGCAATTAACGGGGCGAGCAGGACCACCACCCCCTCCTGTCCACCCCCGCCCCCTTCCACCCGCTTCCACGCCCCCTTAACACCCTCCCCAACCCCTTCCCTTCTCCCTTAATCCCTCCCACCCCTTCCTCCGACAAACGTTCGACATCATTAACGGGGCGAGGAAAACGCAATTAACGGGGCGAGCAGGACCACCCCCCCTCCTGTCCACCCCCACCCCCTTCCACCTCCTTCCACACCCCCTTAACACCCTCCCCAACCCCTTCCATTCTCCCTTAATCCCTCCCACCCCCTCCTCCGACAAACGTTCGACAACATTAACGGGGCGAGGAAAACGCAATTAACGGGGCGAGCAAGACTTCCCTCCCTCAGCACACCCCCTCCTGTCCACCCCCGCCCCCCCACCCCCCTCCACACCCCCTTAACACTTTGCCCAACCCCTTCCATTCTCCTTAACCCCTCCCCTTCCCACCCCCACCACCTCCACCACCACCAACCCCCCCACCCACCTCCCCACACACCCCATAATCCTTCCCAAACCCCTCCCATTAGATGTTTTCCAGGGTTGCCAGGAAAAACATGGAAGGCACATGATTATTTGGTAAAAACAAGAGAAAAACATAAAAATCACGGAAAAACACATTTTGCTTTCCTATGCTTCCTTTGCAAATAAGATGCTTTCTTTCAGATGTGGGACCCTGCCTCCTGTGAGACCCTGCCTTCCCCTCCGTGAGACCTTGCCATCTGTGAAACCATGCTGCACCCAGACTTCTGCAAGATGCTTTTTTTGGCGAGAAATTGCTATGACGCCCTGCCTTCTCTGATGCCTTCCCTTCTGTCCTGTTTACGACCTTTATTTTAATTTGCTTGCCCAGTGAGTGAGGCCTTGCCTTCCTGTCATGCGAGACCCTGTTAGATCTGTGAGACCCTGCAATGTGTCATGTGCGAGACCCCTCCTTCTTTCGCGTGTGAGACCTTGCCTTCTGTCATATGCG